GCCCAGCGGTGCTTCCTCCTCCTCCTCCTCCTCCTCCTCTTTGTCCTGCTTCAGCAGCATCAGCTCTGGAGGCTGCCTGGGCTCGCCTCGCAAAGTTTGTCGTGGTGGGGGTAGCTGCTGCTGCTGCTGCTGCTGAGTGCTCCTCTTTTTGAGGGGGGCCCTCAGAGGAAGGTTGCCGGACCTCCGTGTGTTGTGTGCATGCATGCGTGTGTGCCCTGTGGCGCCCCGGCCCGTTCTGTTTAATTTCATGGGTACCAGTGGGGGCTTTTCTCCTTTGGCAAGGAGAATTCTGTGAGTTTTTTTTTTATTATTATTTTATGTCACGCCCTCCTCACCATCCCACTAGGCGGTCGCCAGTGCTCCCTCCCTTCTCCGCTTCTTCGTCCTGCTGCTGGTGGTTATAGTGAAGAAGGAGCTGGAGGAGGTCGTGGACGGGTGACGAGGGCTCGCCTGCCCCTCCTCCTCCTCCTCTTTGGAGCCCCAGCTGGGCTAAGGAAACTCCTGGGCGGCTTCCTTGGGCTCTTGCTCCGCTTGGCAGAAAATATGATGCGGCCCAGCCTCACCCAGACTCTGCCTCCAGCAGCCCCCAGGTAAATTGAGTTTGAGACCCCTGCTCTAACTGTTGGGGTGAAAGAGCTACAAAGAAGCTCTTTGCTGACCAACAGTTAGTACCTATATTTGAATTCCCCACCTTTTTTCTATGCCTCTTTTCTGTTTGCAACTCGAAGCTCTGGCCACAAGTCGAAGCAAAGTTTTGTGGCCGGAGCTGGTCGCAACTCGAAATGGTTATACGTTAGGATTGTCGTTAAGTTGAGGCACCACTGTAATCACATAGTATGGGTAATGGTGTTCATTTAGTGTTTGATATCCCTGGGGTAATGCAGGATGGCACATTTAAAAGATAGTCACTTTTTAAAAGCCATAATGTTTAGCAGAAATCCAAATCTCACCCCTATGAAGTTAATACAAACTCTACAGTAGTTCAAGCTGTAGTTAAACCCATTCTACTGGATAGAAGTAGTGTGTCACTTAATTACTTCTTTCACTACTGCTTTGGCATTACATTTCACTTAAAGGCATACCTTCTATAACTTGTTCAAGTCTACATTTGACTAGAACCTACTGTCAAAAAAAAGAATACTTTTTTTAGTATCTTCAGTATAGACATATTTGCAAGACAGGAAGCCTCAATATGCAAACAGTCTCTCCACATTATGATTTTACTGATTACCTATGGCGACTACAGTGGACCCTTGACTTACAGACGGCTTGACTTACAGACTTTTTGAGTTACAGAATTCTCTGGCCGCAAAATTTAGGTTTGACTTGCAGCCTGAGAATTGACTTACAGACCAGAAAAAAACCAAAATGGAACAAAAACGGCCTGTTACGGGATTAATCGGTTTTCAATGCACTGTAGGTCAATGGAGACTTGACGTACAGACTTTTTGACTTGAGAACCGCCTTCCAATACGGATTAAGTTCTCAAGTCAAGACCCCACTGTATTCCATATGGAACGTTTCTTGATACATATCCCCCTCCCATGAATTTCTATGGATGTACCCCATCAATGTGTATTAGTCACCTAGATCACTGGTTCTTAACCCTTGTTACTCTGATATTGACTTGAGAACCGCCTTCCAATACGGATTAAGTTGCTCTGCTGGCTGGGGTTTCTGGGAGTTGCAGTTCAAAAACACCTGAGTAACAAAGGTTAAGAACCATTGACCTAGATCACAATGCTTAGGCATGGAGATGGTGTGTATACACCTCAAACAAACAGAAGAGAGTAAAGGTTCCAGGTTCTAAAAAACATTGAGGATACTGAATTTGTCTTTTAAAAATGTTTTTACAAAATTTTCCAGTTATAAGAAAATTGACAGTATTTGAACTAAAGCATGGTGTGAACCTGGAATCACCTAATTTGCTAGTACTGAACAAAGCTAGAAGAAGAAAAATAGGAGAAAATATGTTACAGCTTTAAAAAATAAAGCAAGACCCTCTCTGGAAAATCAAGATTTTGTATGGTACTCACTCCATGCCATAATGCCAGTGATATACTGTATCAAAAATTATTTTTTGCTCCTATGCTGAAATCTGATGGCTAGATCTGAACAGCCTCAAATGTAATTACTGTTGCTGATGTAACTGCTAGAGCAGTATGGCAATGGAACCAATTAACTCGAGAGGTGGCGAGTGCTCCAACACTGGAGGCATTCAAGAAAAATTTAGAGAACCACTTGGCAGATATCCTTTGATATATATTCCTGCACTGAGCAAGGGGTTGGACTTGATGGTCGTCCAACTTCATGATTCTATTATCATAAAGTGGGCTCCGTTTTCCCAATGGGACACTGGGGATTTGAAATTAAGGTGGTATATAAGGTTCAAATGTGGCTGCAATTGAAAACAATACTAAACATAATCAAACCAGTAACCATCAACATTTGTGAGGCTTTCTGAGTTTAGAGGGGAACAAATCTAAGGTGCTGTTTCAAATTTTCAAGACAATACAGAGCAGCTTCAGACATTTTGGGAGGAAAAGAACCCAGAGAAACAAATGCTTTTCCATTTCACACCTTCCCTTATGGCATCTGAAACTGAACATATGCATTTCCCCTCCCCTAGAATCAACAGGAGTAAAATGTGTTGTCTGTTTCCCAGCTGAGAAGCGGGACAGTGTAACAGAAAAAAGAGTAATATACTGTAAATATGGATAGAGTTTGTGTGGTATAGTACTCCGCCACAAAACCCAAAGGGCAGCCTCAGGCCTGTCACCCTCGCTTCTCTTGGCCTGACACCTGGGGCTGTTATGAGGATGGAGCAGGGAGAAGAGCCATGTTTGATGCTTTGAAGGAAAGTTGTGATGTAAATGCAACAAGACAAGTAAAAATAAAATGTTTAGACTTCACTGTTACAGTGACAGCATAGATACAGGGCCCTTGATCATTCACCCTATAATCTTCACCTTGCTCATATTTTACAATGGGCCATTCAATGTCATTCAGAATGCAGTATCGCAGTGCAATGGACTTCACTGTTGCATCATTCCAGAGAAATGAATATACAGTGGATCCTCGACTTACAGAATTAATCTGTATTGGAACAGTGGCCGCAGGTCGAAAAGCCCGTAGGTCGAGAATCCATTTCCCATAGGAATGCATTGAAAACCATTTAATCTGTTTGAGGCAAAGAAAAAAAAATCCCAGGCTTCCAAAGCTGCACCCGCTGTCCTCTGTCTCCCCTCCCTGGTGCCCTTTGCCTTCTGTCCCTGTGTGGACAGAAAGCAGAGGGCACCGGGGATGGAAGACAAAGGGCAGCGGGTGCAGCTTTGGAAGCCCGGGAAGCCGAAATCCACTCCACGCCTGCTGCTGGCTTTCTGAGCTGCTCCACCCCCGCAGCCGGCTTTCGGCTTTCCAGGCTTCAAAACCCCCTCCGCTACCCTCTGTCTCTAGTCCCTGTCTCCTACAGGGACAAAAGGCACAGGGCACCAGGGACGGGAGACAGGGATGGAGAAGGGAGTTGTGAAGCTCGGGAAGCCGAAAGCCAGCAGCAGGGGTCGAGCTGCTCAGAAAGCCGGCAGTGGGCGCGGAGTGGTGCGTCGGGGGACCTCCAGATGCCTTCCCCACCACCATAGGAGGCCTCTTGGAGGTCCCCCCCCGTCGCCGATAGTGCCTCCGAAGCACTATCGGCAGCGGCGGGGACCTCCAAGATGCCTCCCATGGCGGCAGAGAAACCCTGGAAGGTAACTTGAGCCCCCCGCCCCCGCCGCTGGGAGCCGTGCTGCGCTGGGCGATCACAGCCATGCTTGGACTCTTGACTCGCAGTCACTGCCTCCATATCTTTCCCTTCTGTTTGCCAGGAGGTGATGGGACCAGTGGCCATGATCTTAGTTTTTTTGATATTGAGCTTCAGATCATTTTTTGCGCTCTTCTCTTTCACCTCTTTCATCAGTGGTAATACTCTAATAAATTCTTAGCATCCTGCAATAAAGGTCTACCTTTAATGTAAACATGTACATATTATACAAGCACAGATGTACAGAGCATTTGGACACAAGATTCCTGGTGGCCTCCCATCCAGATTGCTGGCCGAGTCGACACTGAAACTTTCCAATGCTCAAGCATCCCTGTTCCCACATTGCCTCCCAAACCCTGACCTTCCTCTCAGCCCACATTTATTCTTGTCTCCAAATCTATTCCTTCATCTCAAAACAAATTTACCATCATTTGTCCATGTCTTCTACTCCCCAAGCTGGAAAAACTTTGGATCAGCAAGATAAGACAGCACGTAAGGAAATAAATATTTTAAAAGGTCACAGTTATTGACTTAACTTTATCCCAGTGAACTGTTTCTGTCATATTTTATGAATCTCAGTAGATGGCTATAAACCTAACCCACAGCTGAAAATTGGCAGACTCTGTGCTTGCAACCGTTCCCATTATATAGAAAAGTAAACAGAACAGGCTTACCAATCAGAAGGCTTTTCAAGCGCCTATGCTCTTCACTGATGTCAAAAGCATCACCCGCAAATATCAACATAGGTTTTGTTCCTTCAGGGCACTTGCTACTCTACATTTTAGAACATTTAAAAAAAGATAGCTATGGCAGAATGTGGCAACATCTTGAAAACTTATCAGTAAAATAAATGACAAAATGTACATTACACTGTCAGGCAAATAAGAGGGAAAGCGAGTCATTTGTAAGCACATACAGCTTAACTGAAACAAAAAGCCACTAAGATGTAGTCATAGTGGACTACATAATATGCATCAAGCATTATTTTGAGGTTTGCAAGTATATATTAACCACCCAGGAAACTCCATCACTGGCCTTATGTCAGCCATTCCTGGATTTAAAAAACTTCAAAGACAGTTTGCAAAATAAAACTTCTGAACATTATCAATAAATTCCATTTCTATCACTCAAAAAGGGACAGAGCAGTTGTCATCATAAGTTTATCAAAAGTACCACAAGATTCTGGAGTTTCCACTGCAACTGGCTAACTCAGCTACCTTCCTGCAAAATATCTTAATTCATGTGATTTGTGTTGACTACCTGGTAGCATTAAACAGGAGGTGAATTCTATTTTGCTACAATAAGCTTACAAGTATTAACATTATTATTTCTGAAAGAACTGTAATAAAAAATTGTTTTCTTCTTTTAAAAGGAAATACGAAATATGCTCAAGGAAATCTCTTTAAAGATCCATTCTTTACTTTATTTAAAACAACTAAAGAAATCATAAACTTTAAAATATTCTACAATAAAAGCCATTAACTGTTGTTCTGACATTATTTACAACACGTATTATAGAATACAGGTTAAGTCTGCAATCATGCAAAAACCTATTTATTATTTCAGGCTTTTAACCTCCAATTCCCACCCCCACCCCCCAAAATGCAGTACTCCTCATTGCTGTTTTTTATTGTTTCTGTTGTGGCTTTTTAGTTAATGCAAACTGTCCTGGAAATGTTTAACTGAAGGCTATACACAATATTTTCAAATAAATAATGTCTAATTAGGAGGATCTGTAACCATCCTCACAAATTTATTTTTGAAAACATAAAATCAGTTAATCAGTAATCATTTCTAGCAAGCTGGTATCCTTTAAAAGCACTTTACCTTAATATCCTTCAGGGGTACAAACTTCTCAATCCCTAGTTCAACCATATCCAAAACGTGATAATCATACATACGACCTACAAGAAGAAAAGCAAAGGAATCCAATTTTGCTCTTTTGGGATGTATTCTAATGCCATTGCAAAGTACAAACAGATGGATAGCGAGGTAGCAGTTGACTTGCAAGATTCACAGCACTTATAAAGTTAACCATTTGCAGCTAAGAGCCCCTTCCTCTTCAGGAGTCACATAGAAATAGGCCTTAGACTTCAAACTCCTATTCAAGAGACTTGACATGCCAGAGAGACTTTTAGCATCATCTCTGCCACCGATTCACTGTATAATCTTGGCCAAGTGACTACTTCAACTTCAGTTCCCCACAAGATGCCAATCTGAGCACAACATAGAAAACAAATGTTGTGCAAATCACAAAGACTGGACAAACAGTAGAATGAAATGATGACAGTTCTTACTACTAATGCTAGTAAACCAGAGGTCCTATTCCCACCTTCTCTATGATATTTGAGGCAAATGTGTGAAGGAAAACATGACTCTGCATCCAACTGCCCTCTCCTTAACTTCTATGCAACCAACGAGAAACAACTCTTCTGTGTGTGGGTATACAGGAGGGCAGGCAACTGTGGCCCTCCAGATGTTTCGGAACAGCAATTGTCATCATCTCTAACCACTCTCTGTGCTGGTTATGCCTGCTGAGAACAGCAAGCAAATATACCTGGGGCGCCACAATTGCTCCCCACTGTCTATAGGACCAGTCATTTCAGTACAGACTCCTCCTCTGCTAACACAAACAAAGGTTTTTGTAAGCCATCTTGGGTCCCTCTTGGGAGAGAGAAAGGTTATAAACTGAGCAAATAAATAAATTACTAAAGCAAACAAAAACCTGATCTCACTTTCTGTGGAGAGCAGAGTATCCCTGTTCCCTCTCTGTATGTTTAGTGGGGGATGGGAAGATAAGGAATGAAAACAGGACGCCACACATTCATGGCACAGCAATTAAAGGGACTTAAGATGAAGATACAATTCTTTCACATTTATTGTCATTATTTCCCTCAAATCTTATATTTTAAAAATGAAAATCAATCCAGTGGTTTAAAACAACACTTAACCTATTATCAAATTATTGGGCCTCTTCTTATTATGTGATCCAAACAGGAACAAGGAACAGTCAGACTTCTTGGAAAAAAATTCCTGTTAATGAAAGAGATCAATTTTCAAATATGTTGAACACCCTGCAAAGAACATCATAAAAGAAAACACTATCCAATGCAGCAGAATATGTGACTACTGAGCAGCTTTTCAACCTTGTTGAGCAAAATAACCCCATTAGCTCCTCATTATCATTTCCAGATTTATTTATGTACAATAACTGCTTTAGCATGTTTGGAAATTAAGACATGATTTTGTTTATAAAGCCTGCAGGAATTGTTATTGTTCTTCTAATGTATGGCAACCCTATGAATCAGAACCCGCCAAGAGGTCAATTCTTTAAGAGATCTGCTCAATTCTTGCAAACTCAAGACCATGGCTTCCCTCCTTGAGTTAATTCATCTCTTATTTGTGGGTCACTGAGACTTATTACAGTAGTACCTCGGTTTGCGAAATGGACCCATTCTATGTGACGTTATGTAGTAATGGAAATTTCGCAAACCAAAACGTCAATTACGCTGCCAAAGGGGCTGTGTTATAGGTGCAATGCGCCCCTGGGAAAATCCTTTCGTACTGCAAAAAGAAAAAAAAATCTAAACCCAGGCTTTATTTCTTATGAATTTCAATTCATAAACTGAAAATTACATAAACTGAGGTGTTAGCAAACCAAGGTAGTACTGTATCTGCCTTTCTCAACTTGGTGGTGCCGTCCAAGTGTTTTGGGTAACTACTTTCACTCTCCCTGTCAGTAGCTGGTTGGGACTGATGGATGGATGCAAGGGATCCAGTTTGGGAAGACCGATTTAGTAGGATAACAAATAAAGTTAATTATTAAATGCATCCTCTATTATCACACATTCCATTAAATTCCATTTTACTGTGTCCTCTTCTCCTGATGATCTATTTATTTTGCTATTTCAGTTTCTCTTGCTCCAAATGGATAGATGTCTTTTAAACTCACCAGTGAGGTCTGATCTTCAAAAGGTCTTGTAATATTTTTTCTAAAAAGAACAGAATTTAATCTCTAAAAAAAACACCATTCAGACATTTTATACAATAAATCAAGCTCTACCTGGAAATTTATACGATTACTACACAATTAGTGCAAGAACTACACATAACTTGAGTTAATTGTCAAGGGGAACCTTTATCTTTACTACACTAAATGTTTATGTAGTCCAGGAACAGCTCAGCAAACCTACTACACTGTCTCCAGGAAAGACTAACTGAACATTCCCAGGCAGTTCAGAGGACATGCCTTTGTCCCCAACATGTATTTTACTGCATCTAAACATGGCAGCCAGTATAATGGTTCAAATGCTGGAGTAGGATTTGGAAATCTACGTTCCATTTCTCACTCAAGCATGAAACACACTCAGTACAATAAAAATGGAAGCATTGAGGCACCTTTAAAACTGACCTATCTACTGTATTTCAGTCTGAGCTTTTGTTGATCGCAACCACTTTAGTCAGGCAAATTGTGTCTCATATCTGAAGAATATGTTTCTGAAGATGTGTATGTGTAAAACAATTCACAATGAAATACTTTTTATAGTCTTAAAGGCACTGTAATACAGTGGTGCCTCACTTAGCGACGTTAATCCGTTCCAGGAAAAACGTCGCTAAGTGATTTAATCACTAAGCAATTTTAAAAAGCCCATAGGAACACATTAAAACGCGTTTAATGTGTTCCTAAGGGCTTTAAAACTCACCTTAAGCGAAAATCCTCCATAGCGGTGGCCATTTTGGGTGCCTCTAAAGCGAGGTAAAACAGCGGGTGGCCATTTTGGAACCGCCGATCAGCTGTGCTTCGTCTTTCTCTCTCTCTCCACCCCTCGCAGCTCCAGCCTCGGCAGGGAGACTGAGGCACCGCCGCCGCCCCGGCCAAGAAAGACCCTCTGTGCCTGCATCAACCTTAGCTTAAGGTTGCTGCAGAGAGAGAGAGATATGAAGCACAGCTCATCGGTGGGGTGATCGCAAAGCCCCGCTGATCAGCTGTGCAAAAAGGGTCGCTTTGCTATGATCGCTTGCCTGCGATCATCGCAAAGCGAATTTTCCCCATAGGGGCCATCGCAAAGCAATCGCTCTTGCGATGGCAAAAAGTCCATCGCAAAGCGATTTCATTGCTATATGGAGCGATTGTTATGCAAGACACCACTGTACTTCTGTTTTTGCTATTGCTGAAAGAGACTGCACAATTACCTCGTGAAAACTTTTACTATGAAAGATTCTTAGGAAAAAAACAACTCTTCATCTCTCTGGGGATTGCATGAACAAACTGGTGAGGAAAACTGGACTTGAATTTGAACAGGTGCCAGTCCATAGAGTAACCACTTTCACAGACCATTTGAACATTGCTGTCCAATTTTGTATACAAAGAAGCCCTTTACAACATTCCGATTTCCATATCAACAGTTAGTATGGCTGTGCTATATTGAGTGACATAGCTATACAGTGGTGCCTCGCATAATGGGCGCCCCGTTTAACGACGAATCCACATAGCGACGATGTTTTTGCGATCACTTTTGCGATTGCATAACGATGTTTCCTATGGGGGAAAATCGCTTTGCGATCATCGGTAAGGTGTTTCGCTTACCGATTTTCGCATAGCGATGATTTTTCCCCAGCTGATTGGCGGTTCCAAAATGGCCGCTGGATAAAACAGGGACTGATTCCTTGCTTACCGGGCAGCTAAAATGGCAGCCGTATGGAGGATTTTTGCTTTAAAGGGATGTTTTAAGCCCATAGGAACGCATTGAAGGGGTTTCAATGCATTCCTATGGGCTTTTTTATTTCGCATAGCGACGAATCCGTATAGTGATGATTTTGGCTGCACGGATTATCGTCGCTATGCAGGGCACCACTGTATTAGTATTAGCTTCTCTTGAATGACACCATATTCCACAAAAGTTTTCATCACACTGGAGTAAAACAAATCATAGGCCTACTACTGACAATGCATCATGAGTTAACCCCACCCCAACACCCAGTTACAGAGCAAACACATACAGCGGGAGGCCTTTGTAAGCACTGCTATATTCACCGAGGCTTCTATAAAATTCAGACTCCCAATCGTCCAGGGTGGAACTATAACCCTGTCTCTGCTGGAGGACCCAGCCTGATAATGCCTAGAATACGGCTGTAGCCCCAGATCACATCTTAGGAAAATAGCACTTACTTCTTATAAAGCACAGCAAATGGCTTTTTCAGAGCATACTGGGGGGGGGGAGAGACAATAAAAGACAACATTTTAACAAGAAGGCATGCTACACACAGTTTACTTCAAATACAATGGAAATCTGTTTAGATGTCACACTGATAAAACAAAGCCTAGATTACTGAATGCCCCAGGGAGATCACCACCACACACTAATCTCTCTAATAGGCTTCCTGAAATGGATCTCTTAGGGAGCTCTGCTGATCCCCTGCTGCTTCTGTGAAAAAGGCAGCTGCTGGCTTCATGATAAAGCAAAGCATGGGAAATCCATTTTTGGCACCACAACTCAAGTTCCTCTGCAAGCATGGCTCAGGGATTCTGGGAGTTTCTGCCTGAAACAGTCACACCTCAGTTTTACAAAAAAACAGAGATAATCTCATCTGCCTCAGAAGACTATCCTGCTTTCCCCGTTGTGAAACAGCCCTACTGACTCTTACTGCACCACAGGTGGCAAAAGAACATGGGGGAAATGCTAGCGCCAAATCAGCAGAGTGACCCCTTTTGCATTCTACTTCCTTCTCAGGGTTCTGGGGGTTACACCTAAATTTCATCTCTCTGCTCAAAGGAGGCTGAAAACACGCCGTCCTGAACACAACTGACCTTGTCTCTTCAGAATCTAACAAGGGCTGGGTCTGGCAACTGAACAGGAGCTTACTTAGAAACAACACACACACCCAGATACTACTACAGAAGGAATTCCTCCCAAAACTCTCAATCAGCATAAACAATATTGGGCCAGACAGGCCAATGCTCTGACACAGTATAAGGGGGATTCCTATGCCCTTTTCTACCTAGGGCTCTTTTATCCAAAAGAGGCTTTTATCAATGGGTTGAACAGAGCCTCCCAAAATTCCAAAGTCTCCCAAAGTCTACTTTGAAAGCTTGGGGTGGGGGGTGGGGGGTGGGGGAGCTAAGCTAAGCTTCTATTAGCTTCCTAGAATTATGGTAGTTCAAATTATTAAACACAGTCTAAAAGAACAGATGCTTAGAGGCATCATTCATTAGGGAATATTCCAAGTATGTATTTCCTAACCCAGATTTTTCTGTAACTCATCAGAATATTACACCACTTTTACAGACATTTCTAAAAATACTTACAATGTCTTTCAGAACTTCAGTTACTGCTGAACTTGCATTTCCACCTTTTATTAACATAGCATTCTTGGTATTCTCTGTAAGCTTTGGCTCTCTTTTCTCCAGAAACCGTTTGGCCCTCTTGGTTTTGGGTTTCCTGCCAGGAGAATTTTAAATGACACAAAGTGAATGTTAAAAAAATTTAAACATTATCTGCAAAGGCACTATTTTTGTTGTTGTTGCTTACTTGATGAAATCCTATTCTGTGCTGTATTTTAGTCTGCTGTTGTTTGAAAGCAGAGACGGGGAACCGGTGGCCCTCCAAAGTCTTTTGGACTCAAACTCTTATCAGTCCCTGCCAGCATGGCCTATGGGCACAGATCAGAAAGACTACAATCCAGTAGTATCTAATGAGGCAATTGGGTCTCTCTAGCTTCTCCATGGCTTAAAAAAACATAAAGAAAATCCCTACTAAACGGTACAAAATCAAATAATAGAAACACACGAAAAAACACTCTGCGGTTTTTCAAAAGAGTGACTATCATAAACTGGATCAAACCTGGAGCCAAAAACACAGCGGTTGTTCTTCAGCTATAAGCTCTGTTGCTCGCTCACTCTCGCTGGCTCCGTTTCTCTCTCTCTCCAGCACCGACAGATGCCTAGGGAGCTGTCAGCCAAGGACAACACTTCATGCCCTCACCAACATTTGAGCAACCCTCCGACACCTCACATCGTGAAAAGCCCCAAACCCAGATAATTGTGAGCCAGAGACCTTCGAGTAGAGTAGGCAGCATATAAGTTGAACAAACAAACAAACAAACTCCCTCGGGAGTAAACCCCGCCGAGGTCCATGGGTCTACCACCCGACTTCACCCACATCGAATACATACTGTATTTTAGGGGACACACAAATACATCCTTCAGAGAGAAGGAAGACAAGAGCTTCAGGGTTAGGTGAGCAGGAGCACAACCCCCGGCAACACTCAGCAACGGCAACACTTACACTACCCGATCCAACGCCTCCATCTCCCCGGACGAGGCGACCACATCCACGTGGGTCCCTCCGACAGATGAGCCGGAAGGCGAATCCCCTTCTCCGTCACGTCCGTCGCCATCCGACGCTTGAACATAGAGATAGGAAAGGAAAGATCTTGCAGCCTTTTGTGTTTTCAACACAGATATCTTGATCTCCCCACCACAGTCTCGTTTCAAACAGAATCCATCAGTGGAAGCATTAAAAGTTTCTACAAAGATGAGTTTAGTGTGTTTCCCCCTGACCATAGAAGTAGCCACAAGGAAACCGGAAGTTTAAAGTACGCGGAGTAGTTGTATTCGCAACCTTTTTGAGACGCATCCTCTACACAGGGGACGTGCGTCGTAGAGAAAGGGGGTCTTTCCTCTCCGCCCGAAACATCCGGGGTCTAATTAAGGACAACAGTCAACTCGTATTTTTGGCGGAATCAAGTTGCAGTTTGTTTGTGTTAAGATGGGTGTGAATACCCGGACCGATTTCCGATGTCAGTGGCTGTCGTTTTTGTTTTTCCCTTGGGAACAGGAATGAGACCATCGTTGACCCATAAATATCAACAGAGATGTACAAGTTTTTGGTGCATTTTACAGCAGATTCCGCTCCTCCACAAACAAATAAGAAAATCATACGTGGCAGTAAAGACTGGTGTGTGTGTGTGTCTCCTACACCTACCGTGTTTCTAATTCGGTCCTTTAAACCTGTGATTTTTTTTAAAAAGCACAAATGTTCATCCGGAAATCAGTGAAGTACTGTACGATGGCTTCGGTATAAGACCAAGTACGGAATTTGGCCTAGCCAAATTCCCTACCGAAAGGGGAGCTGTTTTGGCGGAACAACCGTCCCAAAATCAGTGGGATGTTTAGCAAGATTTTTTTAAAAAAGAAATCTGAGCCAGCTCCACCTCCGCCCCGCGGGGGACTCCCTTGCAAGGCAAGGCTGTCGCGGATGACCAGAACCCTCAGCCGTCAAGTTCGTTAAGAAGGGGAGGCCGTGTGCGTTGCGGGGCCGTCATGCTCTTCTCTTAGCTTTGCCGCTCAGCCTGTTACAATGCAAAACCAGGCGTCCCCATTGCAGAATAATCGTGGGTAACCACTAGGCTCCTTGGGAGGTTACTAGAGGATCGGCACCGGGGGGGGGAGCGCCGCTCCCTCCCTTCGCAACGTGGCCCTCAGCTTGCTTGAAATGTTGGAAAAAGAAACCGGGATCATATGGTAATAATTTTGTATTCCGAGCACAAATGGAGACGCGCCCCCCCAG